ATAAGGGAATTCCTCCCTGGGAGGGTGGGGAGGCCCTGGCACAGGTTGACCAGAGAAGCTGTGGCTGCCTCATCCCTGGACGTGTCCAAGGCCAGGTTGGACAGGGCTTGGAGCAACCTGGGATAGTGGAAGGTGTCCCTGTCCATGGCATGGGGTGGAACTGGATGGTCTTTAAGGTCCCTTCCAACCCAAACCATCCTGGGAATCTGGGATTTTGCTGAACATGTCACTCTACTCCTGACAAAAAGACCAGCGCTGAGGGACACTCACACTTTGTTTCCTTTCTCCCTGTTTCCCAGTGAGGTTCACCATTGCTGAGGATTGTGATGAGGCCACTCCCAGCACCAGGACCGGGATGACTTTCACTGCACAGAAGTGCGGGGTCTGCTTCCAGCCCCCATCCATCGTCCTCATCTACAGAGACCACAGCCAGGATAAGACCCGCCGGCGCATCATGCCCGTCAGGAATTTCTCCAGGTTCTCAGGTGAGGTGCATTCGTTCACCTGTAGCATTCCCCAGGTCCCCTCCAGACACAGAGAGAGGAACTCACTGGTAACAGCATTGTTAGTAACCACTGAGTAGCCTCTTACCAGCATGCAGGGCGTGCAGACAGGGGTGTTTCGGGGTGACACTGCCTCCCCAAGGAGCCCAAGGCTCCATCTCAACCTGAGCAGTGCCTCTTTAAGTCTGGAGGGTTTGGGGAGACACCTTTGGGAGGGACTGGGAGAAGATCTGTCTCTGGGAAGAGCTTTGCTTGCAGCTGTAAGTCCTCGTGGTGGTTTTTGTCTCCAGACTGCAGCATGGCTGCCGAGCAGCTGAAGAACAACCCTCGGCACAAGCCCTACCTGGAAGGGGTCTCGCTGCGGCAGCTCCAGAAGCTCTACAGTTTGCTGAGAGGTCATCTGGGAGGAGAGAGCCTGGCTGAGAGCTTGGAAAAGTTTCGGCAGGAAGAGACCATTGACCCAGAGGAGGATATGAACAAACTAGATGACAAGGAACTAGCCAAGAGGAAGAGCATCATGGATGAGCTCTTTGAAAAGAACAGGAAGAAGAAGGATGACCCCGATTTCATCTATGACGTTGAGGTGGAGTTCCCACAGGATGAGCAGCTGGAGTCCTGTGGCTGGGACCTGGAGTCAGATGAAGAAATCTGATTCCAGACAGAGGTGTCTTGGATGGGCAGCTCAGGCACAAACCTCAGTGTCCCAGCAGAGAGGATGATGTCGGTGCCGCACGGAACTGATGCACATTGGCTACGGAGAACCCGAGGGACCACAGCAGTCCCAGGGTTAAGGGAGCTTTGTTTAAGAAGCCAGACTTGATGAAATGGAAACTGGGCAGCTGAAATTGTTGGGTGGTTTTAGTCTTTTCCTACATAAAAGAATTTATTTAATCTTTCAATTTTTTTTACATTTCAGTCAGCTTTGGCTGAAAATGAAGTGTTAAATATTCATGTCCTGAAAGCACTGTTAAAGCTGTATTGCACAAGTAGAGTGTTTCTTATTGCCTGCTGGGAAGTTAAATATATATCATTCTTTCTGGATAAATCAACAGTGCACTGAGGATATTACTCTCACATTTCCTGAAAAATGCTTAAATCTCCAGTTTTAGCTTACACAAATATAAATCCTTATATTTAAGAAAAGGAATATCTAGAAAATGAATTAGTCTTGAAAGCACTTTTGAAAACACAGTGATTTCAAATTGCTGCAATGGGGTGGTTGGTTCCTTACACTGCTGGATGATGCTTTCTTATAAGTGCTCAATTCTGGGAGAATGTGCTTAAAGTATCCAAAAAAAAATAGAGCGGTAGAAAGTCAAAGGCTGGGCTTTAGAGTAAAACAAAACCTTTACTCATCCCACTGAAGCTTTTATTCCCACTGTCTACCTCAGCTGGTCTGTACCAGCCAAATCCTTCTCTCCTGCAACAACTGGAGGACTAAGTTTAGGATTTTTTAGGAAACTGCACAACTCCAAAAGCTTCCCGAGTTTCAGCTTTCCAAACCCAGGCAGCTGTGAGGGCTGTGGGTGGGATGGGCCTTCATCCTGAGCTGCTGCCTGAGGTAACTCAGAGGAGTTGTAAATGGCCTCCCAGACTAGTTCCTGCCTTCCTTCTTGCAACCACAAACTAAATAAAACATGATAAATTTATCAGCAAGATGTCTTGTGGCAGCACAGGCGCTGGGGCTGGAGGAGCTCTCCTCCCACACACCGAAACGATGGAGTCACTGCTGGGAAAATCTGGAACGGGTCTCAGTGAAACCACAGTGCTGTGCCACCACTGCAGAGCAGGAGGGAGCTCACACTTGGCCACGGGGGTCTTCAGTTAGAAACGGAAGCTGGTGCCTCACTTGCCAAAATTAAAGAAATCTAAAGCCTGACTCGGCTCTCCCAGGACCGGAAGGGGTGTGTGGGGCTCTGGCACAGGCCTTGCCTCAAAGACTGCAACAGAACAGCAGAGAAAGATCTCCCACTTGGGCGGGAGGGGGCCGTGGGGACTCCTCCTGCACACCCATCCTGCACCCAGCGTTGTCCTGGCTGGGCTGGGAGGATGTGGCTGCACGCCCTCCCTGGGCATGGCCCTTCTCACAGTGGGGGCTCAGTGAGGCCTAACCAGTGCCCAGTTGAGGGGGTAATCACCTCCCTGGACCGTGAGGTTCCTGCTGGCCTGTCCCTCCAGCCCACACCAGTCCTTCAGGATGGAGCCCTGCTGGTCCTCCCAGTTTGGGCTCATCTGTGAACTTGGCACAAAGGTGCTCCACAGCCTTCTTTAGGTCATGGACAAAGATGAAATGGGGCAGATCCCAAACCAGACCCTGGTGTTTTCTCACCAGCCTCCTACTAACCACTACCTTGCGTGCTTCATCTTCCAGCTGATCCTTACCTGCCTGGCTGCCCATCCATCCAGACCGTGACATCCACACTTGGATGAAGAATGTTGTGGGACGGTGTCCAAAGCCTTGCTGAAGCTGAGGGAAATGGCACCCACCACTTTCCCCTTGCCTACAGATCCACCCCTTTCATCCTGAGAGGAAAGCAGGTCAGGCAGGCACAAGTTACCCTCATCAATCCACGCTCACTGCTCCCAGCCACCCTCTTCTAGAGGTGTGTTCCAAATAAAGGATACTCTGTGGTTTTCCCAACATGAAGGTGACTGCCCAGTTGCTCCCTGGGATGTCCTTTTGGCCATTACTGAAGTTGGGTGGGACACTTGGGTTCTCCAGTCATGGAAGGTCCTTCCCTATCGCCATGACCTTGCAGAGATGGTGAGAGCAGCTTTGTAAAGACGTCCACCACTCTGAAAGTGGAATCTCCTCCTGTTGCCCTGACATCCCATGCACATCCCAGCTCCAGGTGAGCCTCAGCTTTCCAGGCACGTGATGGGGGAGTGTGGATTATCCTGCCCATCAGCTCAACAGAACCAAGAACCCCCGCTCTTTATTCGTGCCCTGGGCAGTGCCGGGTGCCCAGGTCCCTCCCTGCATGTTCCCACAGCTGCACCCCACATCCCCCTTCCAAAAGGAGATGCAGCATTGGCTGGGGTGGGGGGGAAGCGAGCCCATCCACAATCCAAGGCTGGCCCTGGCACCCACAGCAGGGGAAAACACCCCCAGGGACTGGGGCACCTGCTCACCCTGCCAGCAGGGAGACACTGGAATGCTGCCAGGAGACAGCACAGGGATGTATTTTTAGGTCATTGCTGTCCCCCGGGGGTGCAGCTTACGGGCAAAAGAAGGGCTGAAAGAGGCTGAGGGATTCCCCAGCTGGGGCCTGGTTTGGTTTTGGCTAGTTCAGTCTAAAATAGGGCCAGAAAGCAGCCATTTCCGAGCCGAGTCTGACAGGGGGGTTCCAGAGCCTTGGCCGCGCTCGGTCCCATTGGAGCTGCCAGCATGTCCAGCGGGGTCCGACCTGCGCCACTTCCCAGCCCGGCACGGCCATCGGCCACACCAGGCTCACCCAATCCCTGTCCCACACCTCTGCCGGGGAGGGGGCTGCCCTGCTCCTGCTGCCTGCACCACCCCTGGCATCTTCCCGGCCCCACGCCAGCCTGGGCATCTCCCTCCACCACCTCCCAGGACAACTCCAGTGGGCTTGAGCCCCCAGCACACCCCACATCGCCCTGCGGAGCCCACCCACATAAGGACATGCCCCCGGCACGCCCACAACGGCACGGCGGCTTTCCCACTCCCCCTGTTCCCAATTAAACACGTTTCACTGGAAAATCCCAGCAGTGCCAGGGAATAAAGCCGCTCCAGTTCTCAGCAGGGCTTTTGAGTTAGCACAAACCACCATCACTTCTCCTTCCCCCCCAGAGACTCTCCGAGGAACAGAGCAGCACTTCCCCAGGTAGCGCTGCCCCTCCAGGAGGGACCGTGTGAGCTGCAACCGGAGCTGGGTGGAGGAAACCCCCCACACCCACCGGAGCAGGGCTTCCACAATGAAGGGAAGGGCTTTCTCTTACTTCCTTTGCATGTTTAATCCAGCACTGCTGGCAGAAAATAAGTCCATGATAAAATATAAGCAGGATATAATTTACTCTCCTGCCTTTCAATCAATATTTCACATCGTTTCACTCGGGCTGTTTTTAATGGACTTTCTAACCAGGACTGTGGCTTACCAAAGAAACAAACCCCCAAAATGTGTCTTTCAGTCCTGCTGACAACGCCCATCTTATCAGCGCACGCACAGGGTGCACGCCCCGGGCTGCCTGCGGGTTTGCAGTGCCCGCAAGAGCACGGTGGGAGGCTGAGGCTAGGGAGAGCCTTCTCTGCAGCGCCCGGGTGATGTCTGCTCCAGCCCGGGGCACCTCGTGGAGGCCGTTTGCAGATCTGGAGGATGTTTTGAGGTGGGAATAAATAAAAGGAACTGCCTGAAGGGGGGGGGGAGGGGAAACAGCACTGGGGAAAACAGTCACAGAATCACAGACTAGTTTGGGTTGGAAGGGGCCTTAAAAAATCATCTGGTTTCACCTCCCTGCCATGGGCAGGGACACCTTACACTAGCCCAGGTTGCTCCAAGCCCCATCCAACCTGGCCTTGGACACTTCCAGGGATGTGGCATCCACAGCTTCTCTGGGCAACCTGTCCCTTCAGCCAAGAGGTGTTTGATGTCGTGTCTGCTCAGCTCTTGTCCACACCAGCTGAAGATTTCTGCTGAGGACGTGTCCCTTGAGGATTCCCAGGCTCCATCACCGGACACAGCCCTGAACCCTTTGGGTACCGTTAGGGCTCACCCAGCACCCCGTGTCCTCCATCCATCAAGTCTCCATCTCACCCACCTCGGAGAGGTTATCAACTGTAATCCTGTAAGCGGCCAACCTCCCACTCGCATTCCCTGTCCTAAGCCCTTCCTCCTCCTCCTCCTCCTCCTCCTCCTCCTCCTCTTCTTCTTCCTCCTCCTCAGCCATCAGTAAGGGCTGGAAACCCCACACCGGTTTTTCAGCATCTTCAGCAGCTTCTCCTTGAGCATGAGGAAGACGACAGCGAAGGCCACCAGGAGTGTCAGGCAGGTGGGCAGAGCCAGCACGAGGTAGAGCAGCGCCAGGTCGGCCGTCTGCCAGCGGCAGCTCCGCAGGACGGGCTCGGGGAGCGCGCCGGGGCTCAGGGTGTGGGAGCCATGGCTGCAGGTCACCTCCCGCCCGTCGGGGACGCGCAGCCCCTCCACCCGCTGCAGGGCGTCCCACCAGCCCAGCGTGCAGCAGTTGTAGGGGTTTCGGCTGAGGTAGAGCTCCCGCAGGCTCCTCCCCAGCGGCGTCCGCGCTGTGTCCGGCGGCAGCGCCGGGAGGCAGTTGTCCCGCAGGTCCAGGCTGTGCAGCTCCAGGGCGCCCAGCGAGGCGGGGAAGGCGGTCAAGGAATTCCCTGAAAGGTCCAAGCGTACGAGGCTGTTCAGGGTGGAGAAGTCCACGGCGGTGGAGGAGAGGCTGGTGTTCCTCAGAGACAGCACCTGCAGTGTCAGGGCAAGGTCCTGCAGCCACCCCAGGCCCCCAGACAGTGCCTGGCAGTTGTCAGAGAGGTCCAGGTGGATCAGCGACGTTCCCTGGAAGGGGCGGCCGCCCAGCCCCCGCAGACCACAGCCGGCCAAGGAGAGATGGGTCAAGGTCTCCACGCCCCTGATGTCTACGCAGGGGGGACTCTCCGCCTCACCTGCAACGTCTGGCTGGGGACAGAGGTCAACCTGGTTGTGGCTGAGGTCCACAGTAGTGATCTTCCTGGTGTGGGTGAAAACCCCGGGAGGAAGCGCCCGCAGCCTGTTGGCACTGACGTTGAAGAGCTGCAGGTTGGGCAGGACATCCCCGACACCCACCTCTGTCCCCAGCTCCACCAGCCGGTTCTGGCTGAGGTCCAGCTCAGTCAGCATGGCTAAGGGGCCCTCCTCCAACAGGTGAAATGCCTCCAGGCAGTTCTGGTTGAGCTTCAGGTGGGTCAGTGAGGGCATCTGGGCCAGGAAGCCCTCTGGTAGGCCCCAGACCTGGTTCTGGCTCATGTCCAGCAGGCGCAGGGAGGAGAGGTTGCTGTAGCAGAGCTCATCCCAGAGCCTGACCGTCGTGATGTTGGTGGAGTTGCCATCAATGATCAGGAACTGCACGGTGACGTTGGCCAGGGACGTGCCGTTGGGGAGGCGCTGGTAGAAGCTCATCCTGTTGTCCTGCAGCAGCAGGGAGTGGAGCTTGTTCTGCCGGGGCAGCACGGGGAAGAACAGCAGGCGGTTGTGGGACAGGTCCAGCACCTCCAGCTCAAAGAGGTCATCGCTTTCCAGAGCCAGAAACCACTCGATGATGTTGTTGCTGACGTTGAGCACCCTGAGCTGGGTGAGGCCGAACCCCACCAGACACGGGAGGTAGTTGTAAGCTATGTTGAGCCTCTGCAGACTCTGCAGCCCTTCGAAAGCTTCATCAATCTCAAAGATGTAGTTCTTCTCCAGGTTCAGCTCCAGCAGCTGTGTCAGGTTTGTAAAGATGGACGAGTCCAGTCTCATGATGACATTCCTGGCCACAGACAGGGACTCCAGGGAAGATAGGTTCCAGACTAGAACCGACACCATGTCCTCAGTGAGGCGGTTTCCAGCCAGATCCAATGTCCTCAAGGCTTGCAGAGCAGAAAGAGCAGCTGCTGTCAGCGAGTAGTTGGTGAAGAGGAGGTTGTCTGACAAGGAGAGCTCCTGGAGGCCTTGACTGCTGTGGAAGGTGCCGGGCTCGATGAGCTCCAGCCGGTTCCTGGTCAAACTGAGATGGCAGAGCTGGGTATATGGAAGCAGAGAAGCATTTCCCAGGACCTGGATAGTGTTGTCATCGAGCAACAGCTCCTCGGTATCACCTCGAAGGTTTCCTGGGATGGAGCTCAGCCATCTCCCAGTGCAGTCCATGGTGCTCTGCACCTAAAGCAAGAGGAGGATCTGTAACACCACTCTGAGAGGCAGGAGATGAGGAGGGAGAAGTTTGGGGAGCAGAGTGAGTATGGAGGAGGTGGCTCTGTGTTTAGAACCTTGGCACCCCAGTCCCCTCCAAGCCAGTAGCTGGGACAGGGAAGGTCTGGAGACGCTGAGGCGCCTGGGCTTTGCCAGGCAGGACCAAGCATTCAGAGGGGTGAGGGTTCACAGGAGAGGACTTACGAGCTCACAGCCACCCAGAGATGGTGCCCAGGCTGCAACTGCCCCGCTTCCCCGTCCCACTGCTAGGAGGACCAGAAGCAGGGAGAGACCAGGGAGCGGGGCCTCCATCTCAGCGGCGGCACTCCTGCGGAGATGGAAACAGAGCGAGGAGGTCAGAAGCTGCAGACTGCTCACCCCAAAAGGCACAGGCGACCTGGGCCACCACGAGCTGCCTGTGGAGAAGGGACAGAGGGCCTCGGCACCAAGCCCACCCACCCCAGCAGGAGCCCTCGTGGGGCTCCCCCAGTTTGAGCCTGGAGGGCAGGAGAAGAGCAGGGACAGGGAGGTGGCAGCTCGGTCCCCACATGGGGCAGCACATGTGGGAAAGGCACCATCAGAGCTGCACAGCTGCTCGTGAATGCCACTGAACTGCATCCCTCGAGCAGAGGAGTCCCCCTGGCAGGGCTTGTGTCCCCTCTCTTGGCACCAAATGCTCCCCCAGGGGACACTGACCCAGTCCCTCCTGAGCCCCCCCAGCGCTTGTCCCCTCCCGGGGAATTGGAAGCTCTCCAGCACAACCTGCCCCGTTACTGACTTGGTGGGACTGGAGCTGATGACATTTGCATCTGGGGAAAAGCTGAAACTCAGGCAAATGAGCAGCGAGGGCTCAGCAAGGCCTCAGCACACAGCACTTTCAGAACTGCCACTGCTTGAAGGAGAAACGGGGGGTTATCTTGGGCAGCCCTGCAGCTGGAGCCTCACAGCACAGAGGGAGCAGGGGCATGTCCTGGGCTGTCTCCTTCCTTGGGACAGCCAAAAGTACAGAGCTGGTGCCTTATCAAAGCAGCATTTATTAATCAGGGGGATGAAGAGGAAGCCCCCCTTCCCCGAGCTGCAGCTCACACACAGCACCTTTTGCCCTCCCAAGCCCTTGGTCTCCAGCAGCACCTCATACCCAGCAGGGAGCAGGAGAGGGACCTTGCTGAGTCCTCACTGCACCCAAAAACCATCAGCTTTGGCTCTGGCTCCTGAACTCCTCTGGAGAAACTCCCACTTGCCTTCACCCAGCCCAGCCTTTCGTGGCCCCTCCGAACACCAGGAGCACCTCCGTGCTCCCGCTCCTCCCTGGAGCTGCAGGGATGGCACCTGCCCAGCCAGGAGAGCAGGCAGCAGCCCTGGCAGGAAACCCCTGCCCGCAGCCCCACACCAGAGCCCACATCCAAGAGCTCTGGGAGCACCCAGGGTGCTCCCCACACCTCACACCAGCCCCAGCACCGGCCCACGCAGCCACAGCTCTTCAAGCGTGGGCACCAGTGACACGCAGCCACCACACATCCGCAGACTGGCACCAAGGGCTCCCCAAAAACCCCCGTCGGGGTTTCCCCCCAGCACAGGTATGGGGGGCAGGTACTCACCACGTGGGGCGGCGCGCAGGGTTTGGCACAGCCCATCCTGAGGCCAGTGGCCCCTGGGCTGCGCTCGGGGGGCTCTCGGGGCCGGGGGCAGGGGTGACCCGCTGGGTGTGTGACCCACCCGCCCTCCTGCTGAGCACCAATATAGCCTTTGCGGAAGGAGCGACGGAAACTGCAGTCACATGGAGGCAGAGAGCGCGGCCGAGCTCCTCGCTTACTGATCTCAGCACTTACAGCCGGGGTCACGCACTCACACACAGCTCCCTGGCAAGGAGGAACCTCGGGGGCCGGGCAGGGAACCAGGGGGTGCCAGGGGGAACCAGCTCCTGCCTGTCCTGCTGCTCCCAGGGACAAGCCTTGCATTGGGACTCCTCTGCGCAGCTCCGGCAGCAGAACCCCTGCTCGGGTTTTGGGCCGCACAGATCTTGCCTGAAGGGAGGTCCGTGGAGCCACAGCACCGGTCCTGCGGCGTGGAGAAATGCCACCCCCCTGCATGGCACCTGTTCCCATTGTGCCCCTCCAGCCCCTGCTTGCCTCCAGTGCCCAGCACAGGGACTTCGACAGGAGCCGAGGGATGTGCATCCCATGGGAGAAGAAGGAGCTGTTATTTCCTGTTGCATCCCAAGCCAAGGTTAGACATGTCCCAGATGCTGAGTCCCCACTTTGGGACACCCATGCCCAGCCCCTCACATTGTGTAGGTGAGACTTGGGATGCTCAGATTCTCCACCCCCAGTCCTTTGGGTCTCCTGGGGCTGCTCAGGATTTCTGCAAACCCAGCACCCAGGGCACAGGTCAGACCCATCTGGATACAGGGACTCCTGAGTGCTGATCCCTATGGGAAACTCAGCAGAACTGGCTTTTCCCACAGCTGCCAAGAAACAACGATCCATATTTCCATGGCAATATGAGCAAGGACATCCCCTTACTCCTCATCCCCATCTACTCCTGCTCTCTATCTCCCCATCCCATGACTCCCTTCTCCCAAGGTCTCCACGCATCCCCAAGGCCCCAAATCCAGCCGCTGAGGAGGAAAACAGTTTGCACTGATCTACGTAGCTGGGGAAGGGTTCAGAACTATGGAGAGGGGATTCAGCCCTGCAGCAGGACCCTGTCTAGTGGGTTCAGCAGGTTCTGCTCTGCAGTGTCCATGCTCCACGTGCCATGTGCTCCATGGCACCAATGGGATATTCTGCAGAGCTAGGAGATGAACTGCGGCACTCTAAGACCTTCCCAAGGAACATCTCAGCTGGGATCCCCCCTACCTGCCAGACCACGTGGCCCCCAAACTCCTGCAGTCAACACAAATGACCAGGGAGATAATTTTTTTGCCCTCCTCCTAAATTTAATTTCTTCTTCTCTGGGAGAAGGCTGAGCTGTCCCATGCCACTCGTGAAAAAGCGCTGTGGTTTCGTTTCCTCCATTTTCAAGGAAGTTTGACATGCAAAAATCAAGAAGGAGAAGAGAGAAGTGAACAGGAGTGGCAGAAACTGCAGCAGGGCACCATTCCCATGGCATTGCTCAAGGGCACACGAAGGGCTGAGACTGGCCAACGGTTATAAACTGCTGATCCCAAACCGTGCCACAAGCCCAGCCCTCACCCAAACCCCTCACCTGGTGCTTGGAGGTGCGGGAGCTGGCAGAGAGTCACCTGGAGCTGTAAAACTTGAGCATCCTCAGCCCTGACCATACTCCACTCACTGGATCTGGAGGCTCCTGGGAGACCTTCTGGTGAGATTCCTCCTTGTAGTGCCACCAAACACGGTGATACCTCGAGGGTCAAACCAGTTTCCTCCTGCAGCCCAGCAGGAACTGGGAGAGAGAACAACTTGTTTCATGCCCTGCTCCACCCCCAGCCCGTCCCCAGAGCCAGGGCAGCGTAACCCCCTCTCCCCGGCAGCGAGGGCACCGTGGGGTGGGAGAGTCCCTGCAGCACCCACCCAGGTTTCACCCACCCTGCTGTTCCCAAAAGCAGCCCCAGGCCAGGGCTCTGTGCTGGGGCAGTTTGGCAGCAGGGCTGCACTTCACACTTTCCCCACATCCTGCAGCCGGGTGGTTCTGCAAACGTCCCAGAGCTGCTGCTCGGTCCCCTCCTTTTCCTCCCCAGCAGCATCACACCCCTCACCCCCACCCCCCAGCCCTCACACTGGATGTGTGGTTTATGGGGGTTTAATTTATTTTTTAATACCAGCACGGTAAAGGGACAGGGACTGAGCTGCCAGGACCTGCTGCTCCATCCAGCTCTTCAGGAAGCTCCAATCCAGCCCAATGGCACAGGTGGATTAAATTGAAGGAAATTCAGCTGCTTGGAGCTGTGTCTACAAGAGCAGCTGCAATTCCTGCAGCTGTAGGGGAGGACTGGGAATCCCCACGTGGTTTTACACTCAGTGAACTTCCTCCGTTCCTCCCACGTCCTCTTCCTCCAAACCATCTTTTTCCCTTAACAACCCTCAAATTGTCAAGCACAAACCAAGAGAAAAGTTGTGACAAGAGGGCAGGCTCCCAGTTACTCCTGGAATGCTGCACCCAGTACAGGATGCTTGGGAAAGGAGAAACTGCAACAGGAAACAGCAGCCCCATTGCTGCACCTATGTTTTCCTGCAGGAAACGTGATTTATTCCAGAGTGGAAGCACCAGGAGAAGGGTCACTCGGTAGCAGGACCACAGCCTTGGTGAGTTGGGGAAAAGTGAAACAGAAATGTTTCTCCATGGGCTTCCCTGATTCCCACTGGAATGGAGAAGTGGAGAGAATTAAACAAGTGGCTCTGCAAGGGAGGATGGTGCAAAGCATCATTAATTTAATTCATTTCATTTAATCACCTGCTCTGGACAAAACAAGGGAAGCTCCAGGTTCGCTGTATCCCAGGAGCTGCCAGTAGCAGTAGTTGCCTCTAATTTAAGATGAACTGTGAACATAAAAAAGAAAACAGATCATTTGTTGCATGGGCAAAAGGGAAAAGCTAAAATGGCCAGCTCGATGGCTGAACACTTTACACTACAGCTCTGGAATTTAATCTCGCTGAATTTCTCCAAAGGAATCCACCCAGTTTATCCCCAGGGAATAGCTAAGGATGTGTCCCATCCCAGGATGGCACAGACACATCGATGTACAGGAGCAGGGGCTCCCCCAGCCCAGCGTCGCAGTGGGACGGGAGCTCTGCAGGAAGCACAGCTCCCCTGGGTGTAGTTCCTGCAAGGGGAAACCAAGGGCCAAAACTCAGCAATTTATAATCAGCTGCAAAATCTTCTTCCCCCCTCAGCTGTAGCCAAACCACCTCCCTGCTGCTTTACCTGGCCACGCTCGGGTATCCAAGGAAAGGCGTGTGCCGGCACTGACATCAGTCACTAAAGCTCCAGGCTCTGGTTTTGCAGTGACTCCTGTGCCTGGGACCCCCCAGAGCCCCAGCACCTTCCTCTAGGCTGACTCCCCCACCCCACTGCTGCTCCCCTTCCAGCAGCTGCCCACACTCCTGGCTCTCTCCTGCTCTGCAGTTACACATTTAGCCACAGCCAAGCCCAGCTTTGCTCCTGCATTTTATAGAATCCCAGGATGGTTTGGGTTGGAAGGGACCTTTAAAGCCTATCCAGTTCCACCCTCTGCCATGGGCAGGGACACCTTCCACTATCCCAGGTTGCTCCAAGCCCTGTCCAACCTGGCCTTGGACACTTCCAGGGATGGGGCATCCACAGCTTCTCTGGTCAACCTGTGCCAGGGCCTCACCACCCCCTCACAGGGAAGACTTTCTTCCCTGTATTTCCAGCTGTCAGGAATCTCCTAGCTCTTGCCAGGTTTTCTGATGGGAAGAGGGGTTCAAAGAAGACTTCTTGAACCCAGAATTAGTTCTGGGTTGTTCTGAGCAGAGCACTGGGCTTGCTCACACCTTTGCAGCCACACGCTGGCTGCTGACATCTGAAGAACTGGGGCTGTGGGAGCTCAGGGAGGAGGGGGGAGGCAGTAACCCCCCAGAACTGACAGCGTGCAATGAGCCCACAGGTGAGTCCCAGCACAAACAATTGGGAAAATGAGGCCTTTGGGCTTGGATGACACTTGATCAGGACCTAAACACCACAGCAGGACTTTCATAGAGGCTCCCACCTTTGACCCTTCAGTCTCTAAAAGGCTCCTCTATGGGACTCAGAAGAGAGGCAGGAACAGGTCTTAGCGGAAAGCAAACCCATGTTCCTGGGGGCACAGGGCCGTGTGGGAAGGGAAGAGGGGAACTGGTCGGCGGCTCAGCCACAGCCCTTTCCCGGATCCCCGTGCTGGGGTAAGGCTGCACCCTGGTTCCCTTCCCACAGGCAGGTCCAGCCCAGGCAGCTCCATCTCCGTGGTCACTGCTCTTCCTCCTCAGCCTGTAGATGAGGAGGAAGTGGGACAGGGAGGGGAGAGCCACAGCAGGATCTCGTTTCCCCTGCTCGCCTGCACGCGTGGCCATCACACCCCTGCCCTGCCCCGGCCAGGCCTGGGGGCTGCACAGGATCCAGCACCACCATGCCAAGGGAAACCTCCTCCTTGGAGAGTGGGACAGCATCTGGATCACACAGAGCAGAACATGCAGTGGGATGCATTGGATGCTCAAATAGTGCAACCTCATGTTTCTGCAGCAACTGGAAGCCAAGAGCATCCACTCCCTTGTGTTCCGAGACATTCCAGAGACACTCAGGAACTCATCTGCAGGAGAAGCAAGTGCCCAAAGCTGGACAAGGCCACTGACCTTGTGCCCAGAGAAGCTGTGGCTGCCCCATCCCTGGAAGTGTCCAAGGCCAGGTTGGACAGGCCTTGGAGCAACCTGGGATAGTGGAAGGTGTCCCTCCACGTCGCAGGGAGGTGGGACTGGATGGGCTTTAAGGTCCCTTCTAACCTAAACCTTTCTGTGATTTTTCTCCTACATGTCCTCAAGAGCTGCAAACAGCCCCACAACCAGGTTGCTTCCATCTAGTTTGGTCTTAGATTGCAGCTACGCCCAAAAGTGTTGCCCAAGTTTTTCCCAGAGGATTGCCAAAGGTGGATAAACTGACTTTATTTTTGCACTCTACAATAAAAAAAACCACTGAAAGCAGTAAAACCCCTTGACCCATCTACTCCAGCACATTCACCGAAGTTTTTAACCATAGAATTATGGAATGGTTTGGGTTGGGAGGGACCTTAAAGCTCATCTCATTCCATCCCCCTGCCACGGGCAGGGACACCTTCCACTAGCCCAGGTTGCTCCAAGCCCTGTCCAACCTGGCCTGGGACACTTCCAGGGATGGGGCAGCCACAGTTTCTCTGGGCAGCATGTGGCAGGGCCTCACCACCCTCACAGGGAAGAATTTCTTCCCAATAACCAATCTAAACCTCCTCTCTGTCAGTTTTTAGCCTAAAACTCTCAGGACTAGAGGCTGTAAGTCAGCAGAAGGAGAAGGTTTGGACAAGTCACTGCTATGACATCATTCAGCAATGCAAATTGTGGCAAGAAAAACTACTCCCATCTGCAGCCCCATATAGTCCCTTCCTGCTGCTGTTCTGCTTCTAAGAGAAGTGAGTAATTCTGTTGAGAATGCAAAGGGAAGTGAAACTCTCTCAGCTCCTTGCAGAGCTGAGCGTATCCCACCCAGCTTTCCCCTCTGGCCAGGAGGGCCAACATCCCTGCAACGCAGCCTGATCTCACAAGCAGCTCTTCTGGAAGCAAATTCACACTCCAACCTTTTCCCAGGTTTCCAGCTGTGGAGTTCAGCATCCCTCTTTTCCAGCGTGCCTGGGGGACGAGTGACAAAGAAAAGTCTGTCCGTGGGGCCTGGGGATTGGAGCACCCTGTTGCACGTAGGACATACCCTCAGTCTTGCACAGAACAGAAAAACTGACAGGACAGAAGTTGCTGTGGGTTTTTTAAACAATCTCCAACACAAAAGTGGCATCACTGCTGTACCCAAAACCCAATCCCTGCAGCTGTACCCGAGAGAGACTCAAAGCACTTTCACCTCTCTGTTTGGAGACCTGGATTCACACAGGAGTGCAGGAGGGGGAAGTTCAGTCGGACACTTTGATCAATACACAGATCCTCCCCTCCTGCCCTCTGCTCTCCTGCTGGGAAGAGCAGCTCATGCTGCCAGTAAACATGAGCCACATCCCAGCTGGACACGTAAAACCACCTGGTTTCCATCCTGCACACTCTCCTGAGTCCCACTGATGTTCCAGCTCTGCTCCAGTTCTGCTCCTGTCAATTATTTTTCCAAGAATAGATAAAATCATATGCTGAAACTGAGCTAAAAATCTCTTGGCTGCTTCCAAAGCGGGATCCCACCCTCCAGCCCTGCTCTTGCACAAAATCTCGTGGAAGGGCTCAGGTGCCCAATGTCAGATGTCGCCTGAGCACAGAAAAACCAAACAAAAAGCCAACAAAAAAACCCCCCAAAGGTGATTTGGAAGTGGCAGAGGCTGAGCAGCCTGGTCTAGTGGGAGGTGTCCCTGCCCCTTGGCAGGGGGTGGAACTGGATGAGCTTTAACCCAACCCTCCCAACCCAAACCAGTGTGTGATTCTGTGAAAAGCTTTAACCACTGCAGTATTTGGAATATGATACAAAAAGCACTTTGGCCAACACCCACTTCCTCACTGGCAGGTTTGTCCAGCACTTTATAAAGCCACAGATTGGAGCTGGCAGAGTTTACTCTCTCTCAAATTGCTGTTTAAAAGTGATGGGATAAGGCCGAGTTCTCCTAAGCACAGGATGCTCAGGATTAAAAAGACAAAATAAGTCAGGCAGACATGAAACCACTCCAGGTAGCTCACACCACACCTGCCAGTGCAGGCATGGAGGGAAAATCCATTCAATTCCTGACCTGGTAAAATTGCAGAAGAACAAACAACACTCATAATGTACAACCAGTTTTATTTTTTAAATCCCTTTTCAGTGATTCTGATTTTTCTTTCAGCTGCAATGACATTTTTTTAAATAAGTTTTTGCTGATATCACTATTTCCTGATCATAAATGCCTGAGAGGAAGAAAAGCAAGTCTGGGAAAGACTGGAACTTGAATAGCAACAGTGACATTTTTTTTTGAGCCTCTCAAATCCCTGTCAATCCTTTAAGGTGATTTCAGAGCCTTGGTTCAGTCTGCTGTCACTAAAAGTCATTTTCTGAAATGCAGATATTTGCTGAGCCTAATTTCAGGACCCAGGGTTTAAACAAAGGAGTGAATTTAAAAAAAAAATCCATGTCCAACATCCACTTCCATTGAGGGTTTTTAGTTTTGTTTTTTGAGGAGGACGGGAAGCAAATGCTAAGGGAGAAGGTTCCATATTAAACATTTAGTTTGCACAACACTTAAGAAGCTCCACAAGGTTCCCACAGTGCTGTAGCTTTGCCTTCTTCTGGGGAGGTGACAGAGTTCCTTCAGAAGTCAAACACCATCATCCAGCAGGAGACAAAAACATGCTTAAGGGATGAATTAGCAGGTTCAGCAGCACTGCAGGAAAATATTTCTGTGTTCACTCACTGCTTCATTCATTTTTGTTTCAAATGCATCATACTGTGCTGCGAGGTGGGCCTCTGTCACTTAGAGAATCAATCACAGCCACTGCCAACCCCTTCAAAACCTGGTTTGTAAATTTAGAGAGGACCTTAGTGCAGGTTTCAGTAATGCTGCCTTCTGGCTGCAGATTTCATTGTATATAAATGAAAAAAAAAAACCAAAACCACATATATCTAAGAGCTATTTATAACATGTAAAGATTTAGGACTGAAACATCTGTATGGAAATACACAGGCTCGGGAATGACTGAGGGCTGGTAGCATCTCAAATACTTGGAGAAAATCAGTTTTGCATGATCAGACTATGATCAGGCTGAGCCTTATTTTAACTCATCACTGCTGTCATCATCCCAGGGAAAATGGAAAAGGAGAAAAAAAAAAATAGAGGCAGGAGGAAAAAAAAAAATAGAGGCAGCCATCTGGAAACACACCCGTGTGCTCAGGGAGTTTAGAAATGTAGATCACAGATAAGCAGGGAGGAAAGTTGGATTTCTCACTGTCGGATTCGGAGGCAGGCAGGGAAGAGCACAGCTGCATCCGAGGAGCAGAGGCTCAGCCCACACCACCAGGTCCATCTGCTCCTGCCTGGGTTTGTCACCTGAAACAGGGGGCACAGAAACGACTGGGGTTTGCTGGGGGAAGGCACTCGGGGCTCTCGGAAATGCACACTCACTGCTGCCTTTTCAAGTGGGGAAAAAAACCACCCCTTTCCAGGAGATACCCCTACCAGGGTGAGTTTCCTGCTCCATCTTGATTTATCACTTCAGCCACCAGCACCTGAGAAGTCACACAAGTGGCTGTGGGCCAGCACGAGCTGCCACCAAGGCCCAGAACAGCCTCTGCCCCCAAACTAGTGGTCACACCAAGCTCCTTACCTCCTCAGAGAGGTGGGATGGGGGCAGATGACCAACTGCTCGGCTCCCAACACATTTCACAGCGCACTAAAATCACAAGGAATTCTGGGTTTTATTCAAATGATAGACAAAATGCTTGCTTATCCCAAAATCCTGGTGTCCTGCAGGATTCCAAAGCCAAGACCTGTGAATTTGACTGATTTCTGTTTGGGGGCCTGTGAACAGTTGATATTCTCCCTGACCAAAGCAGTTAATCCCTTGTCAGGGTTAGAAAAATACCTCAAACAGCTGCTCATCTGACCCTGAAGTACCTCAGGCTAAAAAAAAAGCAAATCCACCTTCTTGGCAAGCATCAAACCCCTCTGCTCCTGAAGGAGCTCACAGGGATGTCGGCCAAAATTTACTGCTTAAAAACAGATTCTTGATGCAGAAAGTTTGGGAAGTGCCTCAGAGCTCATAACACAGTCCCCTGCTTCTTCCTAAAAGCGCCATGAAATATTGAACTTCCATGGGGAAAGCTGAGGAAACAGTGGGAAGCTGACGTGGGAAGGAGGCCCCTGAATACAGCAGTGTGGCTGCAGCAGCGACCACACCACCCCAACCCAGAGGCCTCCAGCAGTCAGGAATGCCTTTTCCCCCAGTGCTGAGCTGTTTCAGAGGATGCAGTTTCCCAAGCACAGCTCTCAGACCACTGAGTTTCCAGTCCCTCGTTAACCACTCACCAGACTCCATTCTCCAGCAGTCACACAGCAAATCACAGTCCCGGCGCCTCCGTCCTCCTGGTGCACCAAACTGCAGCTCCCTTCTTCCCATCTGGGGGATTCCACAGGTGCCATTCCAACAATCCACACCGACACATCCTTCTGAATGGTAGCAGAGTTTATTTTAATATTTTGTACAGCCAGCATTGGTCTCCAGGAATAAGTTATAATCTTACATAAGTGAGTCCACCCAAACCCACCCTTAAGGAATGTTCGACTTTCAGCATTTCTGATTTAGAGGGAAATTATTTAGAGGGAAATTATTTGGAGGGTAAGACGCAGTCTGAAGAATGGAACTCAATCTGAATTGGTGATTAAAACTCCTCGGAAGTTCTCAGGGTTTCCTTGCCTCTAACTGGATCATGGACAAGCACAGAGGTCACGTCTTTCAGGACTGCACTGAGAATACATTCATCCCGGGGACTATTTATTTTCCCAAATTGGACAGGGTTTTGTTTCCTTTATCCCCAACTCCACACCCCATGGTTCTGCTCTGCAGATACAGTCCAGTACAATCAAAGCTTTGTAACAGATTTGTCCTGGAGGCACTGGGATGCCCATCCCACAGCCTTTATTCAGCTGCTCTCACCACCACCTAAAACACCTCCATCGCTCAGGGCCCATACTGGCTGAGGCAGGAGGAGGACAGACCTGGACAGTGCCTTCCAGCAATGAACACACAAAACAAATAAATACTTTAAAATCCTTTAAATGGTAATGACTCACACAGTTCCAGTGCAGAACCTGGTGACCTACCAGGCAAAAAGCACTCCAAGGGCAAAGCCTCACTCACCTCCTTGCACTGCTCTCCTTGAGGAACTGGGGGGGATGAGCAACAGGCTAAGGGGAATTCCTCCCTCTGCCATGCTCAGAGAGTTGCCAGTGTCTGACATTAAGCAACTGGCATTCTCCAGTGCAAGAAAAGCAAAAAAAAAGAGGTTGTATAAACATTTCCTTCTCCTTCTCCCTCTCTGAAAAGTAGCTCTGAAACAGCTCAGGCAGCTCTGGGAAATGCCAACCAGCACGAAACCAGTCATGGGACTCACAGCTTTACTGCCCCACGAGAGAGCCCTTCTGGGGCTCCCTACAGACCTTCCAGCCTCAGAGCAAAGTGGTTTCACCAGGGGGCCCCTCCTCACTACACCTGGAAGTTTCCCAGCCTGCACATACCAGCACATGGACACACCTGAGGGTCTGTACCTGGCTTTGAGAAAACCGGTGCAAGTGAAGAGCCCCAACATTGAACATGATCCAGAATCCCCATCAAAGGGCTGGTGAGAGTTTTACTCCTCCTGGGCAGGTGAATATTCGGGTACTGGGGGGATTTTATTTAATTAAAGAAAGGTTCAGCCAAGCCTTAAGGTGTTATAAAGCCATTTAAGCCAAGAACAAGGTCTGGATGCAGAAAGTGAATGCTCCTTCCTCGTTACCTCGAAACACTTTGCAGCAGTGATTAGAAAATGTAAGAATGCTTTTAAAAGTTGGTGGGTTTGACGTGGAAAGGAAGGCAAGCTCAGCGCTGTGCCGAGCCTTCCTTTCCCAAGGGGAGTGCAAGTTTGGTGAAAGGAGACGTGTTGTGTTTCTTACAGAGGACAAGCCTGTCACAGAAGCCATGGAAACTGTCACAGGAAACGACCCAAAGTAGCACCATACTCCACAAGAGCATCCCAAAACACATTAGGATACAACAGAAGGGCACTGACAGGAACGCTGGACACCTGCCCCAGGTGTGTGTTCTGATGTCACTGAGTGGGGTGATTTTTTTTTCCCTTTAAGAAATTATGTTCCAGTTAGAATAAAGGCAAACCCTTTCTTTTAACTGTTCTTTTCAACGTGTTCTGTATATACAACCCTTAAAATACACTTAAAAATAGCTGCCCACGTGTTGTGTCGTTACACTGGAGAAGGGCAGTCACACAGACCCTGCCTCTCAGTACATTAAAAATTGGGAACACCCCCAGCAGCCCCGCTCTGCTCCGGCCCCCACGCTGGCCCCGAGGAGGGAAGGAAGGAAGGAACAAGCAGTTTGGAAATGGGAGTCTCTCACAAAACACACCACTTACAAATCTCGGAGTAATTTCCTCAAGCAGTTTTGTCTCAAGTCCTTTCTGAAATGTCTGAGGTCACACTGCCATCTTAGCAATGAAATCTGTTGCAACATGCACGTGTCAGCTTCCCACTCAACCAACTGCAGCCCTGAGGATTTTTTCTGGCCTGGTAGAAATAGGAAATGTAACACAATTCCTGATGTATGGCTGGTCCTCTGTTTCCAAACCCAGTGTGGTTCCCTCGATGGTTCTTGGACACACACCCACGCTTTTTTGTTGTTTTTTTTTTTTCCTCTAATACACGTTTCCCTCTAACCAACATGCAGATTTCTCCTCCCAGTCATCCACATCTTGACGTCCCAACGAAACAATCCACATCATCCATCCAGAGGTTTTCCCAGGTAGACCAAAGTCACTTCTGTGTTACCATACACAGCAGACACTGCTGGATACAGGCAAACTTTTGGCAGTCCTCTGAAGGCAACTCCCAGGAACTCATAGCCCCTCTCAAACGCTAACGTTTTGTCTTCCATGTCCAGGATAACTCGGATCCTTTCGCCTATCTGGAAACAGGGACGGGAGAAGTGGAATAAAAATAACACACAGAAAGAGTCAGCGTGTTCAGATGGAGATAAAAATAATGCAAAGTGCAACACAGCAGAGAATTTTAAAGCAAGGCTTTCCTGCTTCTCATGCTTGATTGCTTTAACGATGGGAATTTCCCAATTTCACTCAAATTCACCATGATCCCCAGTGCCTCTGAAGCAGGGCAGCCTGTACCCACCACCTGTTTATGATAATAAACATGATCCTTCTCATACAAACCTGTGAGAGCACTGAGAGCGAGCACAGAGTGCCTGGAAACCTTGCCATGGCCTCCAAGATCCCTGAACTCGGTGTTCAGCTGCTGCTATTGCTGAGCAGGTTCTCCTTTGTGAGGAGCAATTTTAAAGACAATGCATTTTTTAAGAAAGGCAAGTGCCACCTACAAAAAAATCCCAGAATAGACCGATATGCAGGTGCTGTGGCTGACAGAGGTGTTTCCTCACCAAGGCTGGGGGAAATTCCACTATAAAAGGTAAAATAACCATGAAAAACTGAGAGTATATACACACAGGAGTGAAACCAACACGGATCTCAGCAGGAGACTCTGATCCAGGCAGGCACAGAGCTCCCTGGGTTATTTCAGACATCAATACAAGTCCCAGAGGGCAGCCACAAGCACAGCAGGCGCCACACAAACTCCTGACTCTTCTCCAACCAGCCCCAGTGCTGGGGATTTCTTCCAGCCAACAGATTTTTCTTCCAACCAACACTGACACACTTTTGTCTTCCCTTTAAATATGTTTTCTACGAGCAGATCACTGCACATGTCCTAATAAACACAAAATACGCCAAAGGATTGCTGATTTTAACTTCCACATGAAATTTAGGAATATCAGATGCAAGTTGCTACACAGATCTTCACTCACAAGTGAAACATAAGCCAGTGAATAGCCACAGCACTGGAGGCTGGACTAGATGATTTTTAGAGTCCCTTCCAACCCAAACCATTCCACGATTTTGTGATTATGAGATGGAAATGACAACGCATCCAGTTTAAGCAGTAACACGAGCAAACCCAGTAGTCAAAACGCAGCTGGGTGAGCAGGCAGAACCACAAAGACAAACACTTCCCTAAGGACAAAAAGGTGGGATAGCATTTGCTCTTTAATACCCTGAAGTTATCTGAACATCACGTCCCAGCCAAGGGATGTCACCCACGGGAAGGCAGCCAGCCAGCAAACGCAGCACTCAGCACTGCTGCAGGAAGACTCTTACCTAAGCACTAACCTCAGCTCACCCTGCCAGACAACAACAAAGGGGGAAAACAGCTCAGACACTCACCTTGCTGTGGGGCAAGTCACTGCTTCACGAGGCTACAACAGTCTTTTCAGCTTTTACTCCAAAAAGCAACACGGTGTCTAAGCAGACACGCACGGCACACGCTTCACACTCAGCGTTTGAGATTAAAGTGTGGAAACAACCCAGGGTCAGGTGCACTGAACACCAGACAGGTGTAGCCTGTGGAAGCAGTAAACCAAGGGGGAAAGGGCTCACAAGGCAGAATCATCTGCCTTCTGCAGGGGAGGCACAGAGACCCTTAAGTGGGCATTTAGAAGCAATTCAGCAGCCAACCAGGACACCCGAGGAACAGCCAGGACAGGGGAGGGACAGCCAGCACCCACAAGACCCGCACCAAGCACCCTCACCTGGTACTTGGGCGCGTTATTGCACTGGGGGAAGCTGCCGTTCACCTCCCCGTTATGCAGCAAGTTATTGTCCACCAGGTTCCAGCCCCAACTCTGGTCGTCGCTGCCCAGCAGGGCCACGTAGCCCTGGCACTGCATGGCCGCGCGCTTGGTGGCGATGCCGATGACGGCCACGGTGCCCAGCGGGCCCTCCCACCACACCTCCCAGGCGTGCCGGCCCTCGCTGAAGCCGATCTTGGTGCGCGCCCCGTCCGTGCTCTGCGCGATGGGGTTGCGGTGCAGCGTGAAGCCGTTTTTCTTGATGTAGACGTTCCTCGAGCAGTCGTTGGTGCTGAAGGCGTGGTGGAAGGCACGGACCTGGCGGAGAAGAAAAGGAGGGTGGTGGGGGAGATGGACGGGACTTGGAGCAGCCTGGTCTAGTGGAAGGTGTCCCTCCTGCCCGCGGCAGGGGCCGGGAACGAGATGAGCTTTCAACCCAAACGAGATGGGCTTTCAACCCTTCCAAGCCAAACCACTCTGTGGCTCTACGACATGAAACCCTGCAGTGTTTTCCAGCCCCCGCTTGGTTTGCAATGGCGAGTGGGCCGAGGGGCTGTGGGGGTGTCCCCAGGAGCCCGGGGGGTCGCTGGGCGGCTCTGGGGGGTGTCCCCGCGGGGCGAGGGTCCCGGCCTCACCTTGCCCTTGTAGGTGGGCACGTTGCAGAGGATGTCGGTGCGCAGGGCCTCCTCGGCCAGGCAGCGGGCGGCCAGGCTGCGCC